ACGATGTTTGTGGGTGCCCATCATGACACAAGTCTGGCACATCGAAGATACAACACTTCAAGCATGTGCATGGGGCATTCCTGCTGATTTCCTCAAAATCCAAGCTACTAACCTAATGACACTCCTAATGACCTATCACCAACCATGTGCTGAAAACCGGCAATTCCCTCAATCTAGTCTATCATCTTTGTCATGTTGCCCATTGTGAGTTGAAGGGGAATTCCTCCTCCCCACCCACCTCAGGCACTGTGACTCACGCCCAAAAAAACGACCTCGGACCCTGGTGGAAATCGCATACACATGTCCTTGTGGTCCACTTTTGAGACGTCCCTCTTGAGTCTGGAAACACATGATTCAATAAACATGGTGCAAACAAATTCTGAGATCAGCCTAGCATGTGCCAAGAAAAATAAACATCTATATGTAGAAAGCAAAAACATCAACATTCTTCGACCGGTGCAGTGCCCACTCCATCCGCTCCCAGAAAATCACACGCCCTGCGCCCCTGCAGTCCTTGTCTGTCACCTCCTTGACCACCCGCGGTTGTGTCACAGGAGCTGAGTATACGGGATAGCCAGCTGGCCTGAGTGGGATGAATATTCTTAATATGGATGGCGTCCTTTTGGGACCAACATGTGAAACTACTATGCCGTATGTAATATGATGTCTAAAACAATATGTCTACTATCGGTCGTAGACATGCAGCCCACCCCCCCGTTTTAAGAACAAACAATCCTAAGCAATGCACAAAACAAACTGCTTGCCTGCACGTGCTAAGAAGTTGGTTTTCGACCAGATCTTGTGAGGCTCAAATCTTCCGGGACTGCCTGGGACTTCTGACCCACCGTTCCAGTCTGGCTTCCGAGGTCTTGACCTGCCCGTTGGTTCTCGGGCTTCTGGCCTGTGAAGGGGGAAGCAAGTTCCAAAAATGATCCAAAAATAGCTTGCGGAGCTGTAGAAGTTGCTTGGGATTTCCCCATGGTTTTCCGGACTTCTTGCCTTCAGTCTGGGGGTTGCCCCGCCGCATCCCACCGCCGCTCTTCTTTGCCCTCCAAGCTTCGGATAGCTGTAGCCACCCTGCACTACTTGTGGTGTGATCGTCCGCACCACCGTCGGCGTCGACGCCACCGCGGGCACGGCGCTTTGCACCACCTGTCGAAGCACCGGCTGCGGAGCTGGTGATGGCGTCAGGACCGGCTGCGACATGGTGACCTGAGCGTGCGGTGGAGCGCGCGGACAGCGCGTGCGGCTAGCCATGAGACTCAAGGCATTATCAAAATACTCACAAACCAAACAACAATGATGTCGACACAAATCTAGTAGCCTCGCATAGGTCAAGCTGTCAAGTAGTTACAGTAGGTTGTTAGTAGTTGAACTATTCTAGGGCATCGATGCCCTTCCAACACACTTCCCTTTAAGAAATGTCAAACGCCACGTGCTTCACCACCCTTCAAGCACCATGACTCAACTCTCTGTGACACCTGAACGCAGGTGTCGAATCCAAGCCTTCCAAACCCCTTCTGGAAGCCTGGAGCTTGGGAGACTTGGGAGCCTTGGGTATTTCATCAAGAGGTTGTGGTCGCATGTAGTCGCACCTGGAAATGCCAACTTCAGGCATGCAACCTGATCCAGCAGATTGATGCTCTTGGCGTTATGGAGAAACAAATGTAATATATGATTGAAGAAACATGCATCTGTACCTAGCAGCGTCCTGGTGGTTCTGGTGCCTTTTTTTGTCGTACCACAACCCTGTGGAGGATTTGTGATCAGCCGCAACTCATGTACAAATAGAAAAGCGCACGATTTTTTGGCAGAGTCTTGGATGCTTCGTCTGTTCATTCGCCAATCTCGGTCGAGCTGCAGGCTGTGCAGGCGTCACCGGGGCAGTGCTGCTCCCGGTGATCACAGTGGCAGGACGGTTGGCCCAGGCACTGGCGACCGGCACTGGGGCAGCACCGCCCAGGGAGGGGAACCTGGGCGGACCCCAGGTGCTTGGAAATGGAGACTGTTGGATGGTGCCCCGCCTGCAACACAAGTTTGTTGGATGTCAAGGGCTTCTTTGTCCACTTCGTAGTCCACATCAGTTACTATAGGACCAGGAATTCTTTTTAACTGGCAACCGGATACCGCGGAGTTCTGATGGTTAGGAAGCTGCTTGGTGTGTCTACCCCCCAAGCAAAAACAGTAGTAAGGTTGCTAAGGGATCCCTTCTATCAGCAGTTCCTATAGATGGAAGAATGAACCCAACCCCATGCCAACACCCCAAGAAACATGTTGTCTCGGTTCTTAAAACCAAAGACTCACGTGCAACTGGTGGTTTGTTTTTCCTTAGCAGTACACAAGAAATATGCTTGGAGGCAGTCTTCCGCTCTTTAACATGATATGGCATACAATCCATCCGGGTTTTCGTCTGCAAAGCAGCTGGCGTGTTCCCTCCCTCTGTGCCCAGTGGCTGCTGCGCTGATGAGATGTTTGCGGTGAAAGGGCTCGACTGGACCGGCTGTGTTGCTGTGACTGGTGCGCCTCGCCAGCGTCATCCGGCAGAACTGTTGGGCCCGACATTTTGGTGTCAACACTTTCCGAGTACTAGGCCTTTCTCCAAAATTGTGAACACACGTTATTGTTTATTGCGGTTTATTGACTGTAACAGATCCCGTCCCCTCTTTCGTCACATCGCTTTTCACATCCCCCAAGCAACCATAAAGGGCATGGTGTGCACCGAACCGCTGTGCGCGCTACTCCGTAGCCCAGCTGTGTAGACCGCCTGTGACCACCTTGATGGGCTGCTGGATGCGGCTGGCATCCTGGGCTGGAGAGTTGCACTTTTTACGTGGTCTCCAGTGCCTCCAATCCTACCTTGTTGACCTTGTTCACCTCGTATTCACCAAAGCTCGTTGACCTTGTTGACCTTGAAGGGGGGGCGATTGACTGTCGACACCCGGGTTTCTCGGACTGGCGTTCAGAAGTCCTGCGGAATGGAGTACCACTCGGAATCTGCCCGGAGTTGGAGCGCAGTTTAATCCTTGCTAACATGTTCTGCGTTAGCGAACGTGCACTATCAGCATCCTGTCTTGGACAAGTGCTGCTTGGAGGACCTGAATTGAGCGGAGGGTCGGAGGAAACTGAGACTTTTATATAAAGGCGCCTGGTTGGCAACCAGAAGCCCGCCAGCTCCTCTGCCAACTGCTCGTTGGCAACCCTGAACCCCATGCTGTCCCGTCCCCTTCCAACTGAAATGGTTCTGGACCCAAAATGATGCTTCAAAACAACATAGTGACGTCACCTGCAGGTGGCTCTGAGAAATAATTCTGATAGACTCTTGAGTGCTAAGTTGCTTATGTTGGGAAGAAGTCTTCATTCTATGGCGGCCAAAGGAGCAAAGGTGAAACAAACATAGTGACCAGTGGAACCGGCCCCCCACATGGTGACCAGGGTCTGCTCCACCAGTCCTAAAAGGATGCTCCGCCTTCAAGAACTATCCCAAAATGAAAACTGCATGGAGGTTAGGGGTGCCAACTATCCACTCACTGGATGGGACAAGCAAAACCACTCCTTTGTGTCTGCTGGTGTATTGCATCAATTCCATACATGGAGTGTCTGGACTTTATATATACACCATGCTGGAGCACTCACGTAGGTTCCAAACGTGAGGAAGTTCCTCTTCTCGGGAAGCGCCGAAAAAAGGGGCGGGAAGGTCCAAGGCACGAAATCCATCGAGGTGTCCTGCGCGAGGTGTCCATGGATGTGGCAGAACACAGAAATACAGAAAAGCTGTGCGTTACGCTAACAATAGTCAACTATATGGTTGAATCAAAAGAGATAGAAGAGAAATACTAACAGAACTGGAACATGGGAGAATCCATACACCTCAAGGAGTAAATGTCTGACTGTTTTCATCGGAACTCTGCTTTTCATTTCGCCTCTTTTCAAGGACCACTTCTGCCCCCCCCAAAGTGCCACTCCAGGGCACTCCTCCAACCCATCGTTTGTCCCCCAGCTCCACCCGGACGCGGCGGACCGGAACTTCCCTTGCGGGAAGACGAGAGAGCCGACGCGACGCGAGGCCGCCTGCGCACTGCCCCAGGTGAAGTGCCCTCCAGCGCCGCCCTTCTTCGGTGGCGCATGCACGGTGCTCACCGCCATCCGAGACCGGCGATCCTTCTCGCTCTCGCCCATCGCGGCACGCTCCGTGCGGAGGCTCCCGGCCGAGGCGTGGTGAAGCTTGAAATGGCTGAGGAGGAAAGGGATAAAGAGGGAGAGTTACGTAAAGATGCTCCCAGCGGGTGGTTTCACCACCAAATGTCGGGCACTAAACGCAGAACTCTAAAGGGTTCAATTTGGTTCATGGTTCTTCTCCACGATCTTCTCCACTTATAAGTCAACAAAACACCATCCGCCAGGATCTCAAAAAGGACACCTCCGAGTCAAAGAGTTGAAGCTCGACTTTCACCGGTGGGCTCGTTGGATGTGTTGCCCTGCCCAGCTCGTGGAAGTGAGACTTGTCTGAGTTTCTGTCCTACCAGGACCATCCAAGGGGCCCTTGGATGGTCCAGGTGCATGTTGCAGTCTTGGATTGCCATTTTCACACGGCACACGCAGGTACAAGATGGTACAAGATGGTATAAGTATTTTAGGGAAGTCAGGAAGGCTTTTGAGGTCAACAACGTCCATTGTTCCCCACAATCTCGTTGGTACCAACTACTCACCCTTTAGAAAGAATTCTTCTGAACACAACATAACACAACCACGAACTAACGCAACCCCAGGTCATATTCCAAACTGCTTCATTGATGGGTGAGAAGATGTGTCATCGCACAAATGCAAAACACACACATCATAAAAACACCATGACCGACACCGTTCGCCCGGTGGTTGGAGGGACACCGGTGGTATCACCAATCACCTAGAGGCGATGGATAGACACCTCAAACCATGTCTCCACTGGCTCTTCGGCTGCCTTCGGCTTCGGCTTCCGGTCCAGCTCCCCAGGTCCCCCAAACCAGGCTCAATGGGCACGCAACGTAAGCAGCCGCTCCTGGAGCGTCGCGACGGTCGGTGCCACCCCGTGCCGGTCCGGGTGTTGGTGTCCATGTCTTTATACGTCGTCTTTACGGTCCATACGGAGACAACACGCCATTCAGAATCCAGAACACATGGCCTAAGAAACCAGGTTTGATCATGATGGATTCAAGTGTTCTCTGTCATCTGTGTATTTTCTATTGTACTGCAGCCGTAGGAAGTTGAACATGGGTGACATTCATGATGTACTGGAGTGACAACTTCAAGAACACACAAGCAGCGAATTGGCTTCTGCTGTTCGACCGGATTACCTAACCGACTTCGCAACACATCGCCCTCTCCAATACATCGCCCTCTTCATGCCTGTCCTGCACCAGCATCCAAGCAAGGGAGACTCCTGTGAGTAGCTCCCAACACCATATAGTCGGTACAGCGCATCCGACACAATGGGAATCCTTGCGGCGTTCGCTCGAAGCGATGTGGAACATCGCGGCGACATCCAGCATGCGTCGGTGCAGATGTCCTCGATGGCTCCCAAGTTAAGGGAAACTTCTTTAATGCACTATAGGTGACTCTAGCCAGGCTAGGTGTTTTTTTGCTTGGGCCTGGTGTTGGGAGGTCAACAAACTCTTCATCTTGCTTTACATCTATATAATAGGCTTTGCATGCAGTAGAGGAGGCGTGGCCTCGATCCGGTGGCTGGTTGAGGTCTGGGGCCATCCATTCACCCAACGTCCGTCGCCCGAACCAACGCATTCGCCAAGCCACAAGAGTTGCGCTCGATCCAACACGCGCGCGAAGGGCTTCCTGCATGGAGAACGCCAGCACAGCTGAAGCTTGGGAGCTATCAACTGATCATAGATCGAGTGATGGGAACAGTATGGAACAGTACTTAGTACATGGCTGGCTCCATGGATTCAACATGCTAGCAGTTGAGGGGAGCAGTTGTGACCAAACACCTTAGGTGAGACCTGGTGAACGAGAAGAGGCTAGACGCAATGAAGAAGCGATAGCAAGCGCATGGTTACGGAACTCCCGTAATCGTTCTGAAGGGGCCCTAATCTCGCCTGGGCTGCAAGGGGTGCACCACCAGCGCAACGCCTTTCGGCAAGGCCAGGGCCTCAGTTGGATTCAGTTAGAGTCACCAGCTTGGCCCAGCCAGGCCCAGGCGGCTGAGAAGGCATCGATTTTGTTGGAACCCGGATCGGATCGGATGGGCTCGGCTCCAGCCATCGGCTTCCGAATCGGAGGCCGGTAGGGGGTCCATGCCTCTCAAGACAGTCTTTGAACCTGGAATTGTACCGACCTTGTACCCATTTGGGACCGGTCCATGGTGGGTGCACGATCGATCTACACCATGCTTGACCTCCCTGGTGTTGACCCACAGCCAGGCTTGCCTCAGACTGATCAGGATACCCAGCTTCAGCATTCTTGGGAATGGACATATGGGGCGCATGGACTATCAAGAGAGTTCCCCCCGAACTGTGAGGCCCAGGCCTTTTCACCAGGCAGCCCTTTTACGACCCGAATTCGTGCCCTCGCATCCTTTTCTCGAGTCACATTCGTGCTGCTGAGCAAAAAGAGATCACAAAAGTTACGAGACACGCCGACGCTCTACGAACACGCCGAGTCCGCCGACGCCGAGTCACGCCTGTACGCAGAGACCTCTTGGACCCCCCCTGTACGCATGGCCAGCTGTTGATGCGGGATGCGGGGTGTGAGGGTTTGGCATCCGAACCGGGGTGTCTTGAAGAAGCCCAGCTTGCAGCTCGAATCGCCAACTTTCATGCTGCGGATTGCGCATCGCAATGCGTTGCATGGAGTGGGGAGGGAGTTCCAAGATCTACCTACTACTCTAAGCAAAGAATTTGGGTTTGGCTCAGACGCAAGCTTGAAAACAACAGACTATATGCAGCTTATTAACTTGCTTGGACGAGTCCTGTTTTGAAGAGTAAAAGGTGAAGTATCGTGAGGTCTACTCTTGCGCCAAGCCCAGCCCGTTTGGAAAATACGTGGTCACTGAGAGAGAGCACCTCTCTCATCAAAAGAAACCTTGGCGTGTCGACAGTGAACATCTTTCAACCTGTTCTGGCGATGAATTTCTTGTCTTTGATGGAAGGTGGACACGTGCTGCTGATCCGTTCTTTCAGGAATGTTCAATTCTGCATAATTCTGCTGTGCGGGTACAACACAGGGTCAAAACCAAGGGGACCCTGGTTGATCACCGAAAATGAACAGGATGACCATGTCAACCGGGGTTTGGAGCTCCAGATGCCATGACCCACTGCCATCTCACGCTTGAGCGGGCCTGGTTTGAACCTCCCATCAGAGGTCCTCAAAGAGTTTCCTCCACCCTCCCTGAAACAATCGTGAAGCCAGCAAAGATTCCCCCAAAACAGGGTAGTGTTCAGCTTCCATGGGTGTCTGAGAGAGGGTTGGTAGTGTGCTTTTCCATCTGTTCTTCCACGGGTTAGTAAGTAGGGGTATACAGCATTCAATATACATGAGCAACCCAGTAGCTTACAGTAAGTAAAGCAAAACACACCAAACAAAGAATGTACACAGCACGACTACACATGTAGCAATGCAGTAGATGTTGATTCCTCCTTTGGAACAAACCCCTAGCCCTAAACCCTAAACCGTATCTTGTGTGGAAACTCGGTCAAAAAACCTACAGCATAGTTACAGTAATTAATTCCATATAGTAATGTTTGATTCGAGGTGAGTAGATCTAATTTCAAGGTAAGTGGGTATGAGATTTGGCATTACCCGAGACTGGTATAAACTATCCCAAGATATCCCAAGGGTGAGGTGAGGAGGGCAGCGGCTGCGCAGCGGCCCGGCAGACTGCTCCAGCGGCCAGCGACTGGAGGCCTGCAACGGGCTGGGCCGAGGATGTCAGTTTCGCTTTGATGACTGCGCCCATGTCATTTCTTTAGATTTTGGCTGCCAGCTAGATTAGATCCATTTGCAGCCATGGGTAAATCTTTGGCTGAACTTTTGGCTCAGAAGAAAAGGGTGCAGACCTTTGGCTGAAAATAGAACTCCCTCAACTCATTTGGCAACTCATCGTCGACCAGGGCTTAGCCAGCTAAGGAAGGATGATGTGCTCAAGAAACCAGCTGGAGCCCTTAAGCGCCCAGCTGCTAGTTCTGGGACAGGTGTTGGGACAGGGTCTCATCCACAGCAACTCCAAAAAATGAAACTAAGCTCAATTGTCAGTTTACCTGTCACTGTTGATTTCATTTGCACAGGTTTGTTGGGATTTTCAGGGGGTACTCGTGCAAGGAGCCTTGATCGACCATATCCTTTACCTGATTCAGTTGCCGGACTTGGGAGCCTCAGCATACCTTACAAAGTGCATAACATCCTAATTCAAGTCCTTTCTCATTGTCATCGCCAGAGATGGCCGTGCTTGCACGCTCGTGACGCGGTGCTCTGCTGAGGGGATGGGCACATGCCCTGCTGGAGAGATGCGAGGCGGTGTTTGGGTTGGAGCAGTGCAAAAGGAGGATCAGCCAGCCCCAAAAAGCTTTTACGATGTTCAGTGGAATTGAATGTGCGAGAACCGCCTGGCATGTAATCGAAGCAGCAGTTGAAGCCCGTTGGGGTGTGAAAGCTGAGCTGCAGTTTCAATTCGCAGCCCCTCAGTTGGACCGTTGAAGATTTGGGTTGTTGATGTTTTTGGGAAGGGGGGTGATACCGGGTACCGAAAGTATCATAGCATTAGAATTGGACCATCACTATGACAATCATCAAGGCCCTAATATCATGATGTTCAACCAAATCTTTTATTCAATCAACCCCAGCCGGTGATCCATCTTAGGTTGAAAACAACCGCTTGTGTCAGCAGTGGATTCAGCAGATGTACCCTGATGAGTGCATCTTCGAGGATGTCTTTGGCATGATCTCCAACCGTGTCCCCAAAAAGACTTTGATGAAAGCGTCCAAGATTCAGTTCAAAGAGTGTGCCCGTTGTGTGGTCCACAATCGGGCTTGCAACTTCTCCATTGGCGAAGATGACATGTGCGTACTTGGAACCCCATGTGTGCTGTTCAGTAAGCTGCATGACAACAAAACAGTCATGTTTTGAATGTGGGATTATTCCAGTTGAACTTCGGTTTTGTCCATTCATTCTGTTTGCCACTGACCTCAGCGCCGTCCCAGGTTGGGTAAGCAGGAGAGCTTTGAGAATATTGGAAAGGCCCAGGTGCATGCTGTGGGGACCGCGGCAATGTCGAAATCCGGGCAATCAGTTTTAGAGAATGTCGAGGGATATGACACAACCTACATCGACACGCATTTGGACCAACCAGTCGACATGGCAGTGTTGCTTGATGGAGATGACATGAAATGGACTGATTGGACCTGACCTGTAGTCAAGTCAATGCCCTCTTACAATTCAGCATGCCCAATCCTGACCCTGTCTGTGGCCAGCCTTACTCAGGTTGACACCGCAGCGGTTCGGGAGCCCTTCAAGTCGGCCGAGGGAATATCGGCTCACCTGGAACAAGAAGCATTCGTGGCAACATGAGCTTTGTCTACAATCCTAAGTCACATCGAAGTATCACATTGCTTTGATTCCAATGTCATATTATAGACTTCATCTTTGGTGTGGTTGCTTGAGGACCTCAAGTTTTCCCAACTCGCGAGTGAGATGCTAGTCCAAAAAGGGCAGACCTTGCCCTTGACACCTACCTGTTTTGCGGTCTCTGGTGCTGATGAATTGAAGCGAATCTGGGGTACTGAAACTCCCGGAGAACAAGATTTGCCAGAGTGAAACTCTCAGTGTTCATTTGTCTCAAACACTATTTTTTGTGTAACTGTCTCAGTTCGATCGTATCCAACTAAACTCTTTCCAGTGTGTTGATTCAGCCAAGGTCAATGATTCAATCCTTGAGGCAATACAGGAACGCCTACAAGGGGAAGACTATTTTTGACCTTTCTCAGGATGCAACAACTCGTGGCCGAACTGACTTGAAAGACTTGTCCATGCCTACACTGGCAACATCTTCAAGACACCTATGGTCCCTGGTCATGTTACTTCCCACGCTACTTTCTTGGGGCCCGCCCAAATCCTGCCCTTCACATCCTGCCTTGCTCTATCTTGCTCTCAGGTCTGAGCACCTCGGTCGATGCTACACTGGTCGGGAGAAGCTGTTGAGTCTGGGAATGCCAGTTTGGGGACCCCATGCAACAGCAGCAGGGGTGGAGGGGGCCTCAGTACCAACCGCAACAGTTCAGTCAGGGAGTGCAGGAATTGCCCAACTACTGGATTTGGATATTCTCACTTCATAAGCTGAGGACCGAGTGACCCTTGCAGATGACGGCTCCTTTAGTGAAGCCTGTCTCACAAGCATGAGTGGGAACGGCATGCATCTACCTAGTGTTGGCTTTGCCATGCTGATTTCAAAGCTGGCAATCACGCCCAAATGATGGTGTTTCCGAGCCGAGCAGTGTGTTTGGATTTCAACCAGTGCGGAGACTTCAGGGTGTAAAGGCTGTCTTGTCACCTTGCAGCTGCACTGAACTGACCGGACCCACCAGAAATCATCAATCATTGGCAGCAGCTAATTGGCAGCAGAATCATTTATCATCATTGGCAGCAGAATTCAAGACCCCCTGACATTCAACTTCAATTGCCATCAGCGCTACATCACCTGTAGGCTGCCTGCAAGCTGGGTCTCCGGACGCTGTTGCCGCTTGTCCGGGAACCTGGAAGTGGCACAGCGGGGCAAGTCTTTTCAGTTTCCATGCCCTCTGACTGGATTCCTCTGCTGTTGGGTCAAGGCCATGATTTGATTCCTCTGCTGTTGGGTCAAGGCCATGATTTGTATTGATTTGTGTATTGGCCGTGGAGTGATTTTTTGTATCGAGTCTTGCAATCAAAATGAACTTGATCCCCAGAATGCCATGTCAAAACACAAGAATTATGGTGATCATGTGATGACACAACATGAGATCAAAGAATGCAAAAATCATCAAAGAACTGTCTACACCTGACAGTCTGGGCCATGGCCTGTTAGCCGCTTGTCGATGCCGCCCTTTCAAGACGAAGGGCCTGAGAAGCGCCAAAGGGCACTGGAGCAGATTCCCCTTACAACCTTGGACACAAGGGAT